CTTTGATTTTTACTCTCTGATGTCGTCTTAGTCACGTGATGAGGCTGTGTGTGAGAGAGAGCGAGAGTATGGATATGGCAGCCAAATGTGGTTTGCGTGGGCACGGAATTTGAAAATCGTGTGCAATACGAATATGCGTAAGCTGTGGAAATCCAATTTGTTAAATGTCAATTGGAAAACACAGCTGGATGTGCGAACACTCAACTAAGAAGATGGACGAAAAAACAGACTGAATGGTCGAACAGCACCGCAATGGCAACAGCCAATTAAAATAGTCTCGACAATCACGCTAAACAGCCACATTTACGAATTATCCAAAATGAATTTGGGAACTATCCGTTACAAGTGTACGGACGTAGAACTTCGACAGACTGACCGACTCGCCTGAAAAAAAATAGGGCGAGGAGGCAAGCTCACCACACGGTCGGCGAGGCTAATGTGATTGTATTGTATTGTAATGACTTGTACAGGCAACGATGCCTGCATTGCAGTCAAAACATAAGTTCACCGTTACAATCAGATAAAATAAAGAAATAAAAATATATCTATACAATATTGATAAACTTAAACAGAGTTTCAAAGTAGTTTCTTTTGGATCTACATATTTTAGTTAAAACCGGCGAATTGCGATAAATACGTCTGCGGGACGGTAAGCAGCGATAACTGTGGATGGAGTTGTGGCGTGGGAACGGCAAACAGATAATAAATCGAGATATATCGAGCGGATGACTGGGATCGTTGAGTATCTAATGGGCGAAATTTTCAAATGAATTTACATGAAAATCACACAGTTCTGTGAGTATAAGAGAAATACAGCTGGTAATTGCCAAACGGCGACGTAGGATAATGAAATCCTTTTTAAGTAGTCCAGGAAACATAACGAGCGAACAATAAAGTATGACAGTAAAAATGCATTGATAAACAAAGAAGAACATATAGTTGAATGGTTCAATCTAAATTGGCGTAGATTTCCTATTGGGAAGGACAAGCGACACCGTCTACCAACACAGGTTGGTATCATTGTTGTGAGATACTACTTACTTACTTGTGAGTAATAGGCAATATAGTTAGTGATTTATTTTGACGATCAAAAATTAAGATCACTGAGGGAAAATTGCTCTATCTCAGAAAATAACTATCGATTTCTACATTCATTACCCATTGTGTGGTCAGGAACTGTGACGGTATGTTTCTGATCAGGTTTTTGTAGTATGTATGCCAAATTGCTGATGTCCCGTTGGAATCAGCAATAAATAATCATACTCGACCAGCATCGCCTTTTGGAATTATAACACTAGGCATTTGGTACTGTGTGTTCTGGTGATGCCCACGGAATTGGTGATTGATCGTTGTGTCAGTAAGCAACGTCCAGCTTAACCAGACAGTCAGGAAGTCAAGGACACAAATTGATTAGGCGATCGGTTTGTTCAGCTCAAATGGTTTCCCGCATTAGACAATAGGTGTCCGCTACTGCAATGTTCGAACAGTGTCCTGTCTCTCCCGCAATTTCTTAATCGTTGACCTGCAGATATATTTTTGAGTCCGTTGCTAACTTGGCTAGTTTCCCACAAAATCCTGAATGTTGTTTGATTATCATTGTCGCATATCACCTTAGTTCATGCTGCGCAGATTCGTGGGGGCATAGACTGACAGACAGACAGACAGATAACGTTCAAAATGAACTCCGTGGCCAGTATCTTCCGAGTCCCGCAGCGAATACATGTGGATGATTTTTGTCCATTCTTCAACAAGTACTACGCATTGGTGATCGTCGATTCCTGTTCCCGTTGGCCGGATGTGTACTTTACTACATCACCAAATGAGGAAATTACCATTCGAACACTCAGGAGAACGTTCAGTAGATAAGATATCCTGCATTCTACAGTGATTGATAATAAAAGTCGTTTTACTGCCAAGAAAGTTACCGAATGGTTGAACTCCGTGAATTGTCTGCATGTTCTCATTCCAGCCTAACATCAACATTCTAATGGTGCAGCCATCCCTTGTGCCACTCCAAAAGTTGTGTGCGAACTCTATTCCGCTGAGTGAACACACATTTCACCACACCGGAGCTATGGACAAGAGAAAGAAGTCGACGCTTTCAACTGGTAAAAGCAAAAAATACACGCTAAACAGGCAATTTGGATAACGTTACCCTACATACGTGGCACGTCAGAAGCCACCGACCATTGGGAATCACGGTAGCCAATAAACCAGCGGCAACCGTGAGATCGTTTCTCTTCAATGACACAACACATCAAGGGCGATCAGGTGTAATCTCCTCCCTCCGACGCGCTGACCCCAGGGTCAAAAATCTGAGACCACTGAGCACGGACACACAAGGGTGGTGGCTGGAGCTAAGAACAAGGAGTAGCGCATAATCTTCGAACTTCTACACTCAGTTAATTCATTCAACTGACACGACAAACATTACGTTGCACTCGCAAAATGTGTGACGTTTGATTGGACGAACAGGCAAATAAACAGCATACAGGTGCACGGTAATATCATCATCTCGTTCATTCCATTTACTACATATATATATATAATGATATAATTACAAATCGCTGCATATGAGCTTTTTGACACTCGCATACAGTGGATGATTTCCAATTCACCGACCGTATCTTTCACCCCAATCTATTCGTACTGTTTCCAATTTACCACTAAAACGAATTGACACGGTTTATACTACTGAAACAGAGAGGAGTTGGTGCGAGCGGAGAGACGTCATTCGTATATAGAAGTGATCAGTGAAAAGGCTTCTCGTTCGTCGCATGCAGACCGGACTCACCTTATTCAATTCTCGCATGACAAGAACCACATCGTTTACAAAGATTTTTGTTCTATTCGCAAATTCCACATCCCCGTACGGAATCCCGGCCTCGTTTCCGACAAGTTGCATCACTTGCGTGACGTATTTCCGCTTTTGCTGCAAAACACGCAGGGAGTGGGATGAGATGGATCGGTGATTGCGTGCACACACACACACACACACACACACACACTTCCACTGACCGACACTGGCTAAATGTACGGGTTCAGTTAGCCAAAACCGTTTAGTGTGCAGCCAAAGTGACACGTGCAAAGCTCGATTCTGAAGAACGAACGGACCAACAGATCCAGATGGCAAGATAATCAATTAATGCATGCATTGTATCGAGAAACAGTGTGTTCAGTATTGGCCGATTGTGATGCACTAAAATATTTTCTTTATGATCAAATTGAGTTTCATTATATCTACCACCTATAATAATACTTTATCTTGTCTACGTCGATCTACGTAGTTTCTAGGCTGCATGGATCTCATTTAAACGTGCCTGACCTTGGCTGCCAAGATTAAATGATCTGATTATGACAACGCAATATTTTCTAATACGAGTGACTCAAGAATTATCCCAGCTTGTTTCCATAAACCCTTATCATCTCCCTTATTTGTAGTGAGGCATTATTTTATCTAATATATAATCCATTAGAGTAACTCTATTCGATAACCAAATGAAATTCTTTCACAATCCGGTGAAGTTGCATTAAATAAGGTTTCATAATAATCATTATCGATGTTTGATATCTAACTCAGTGAATTCGAGAAATAGTTCTTCAATCAAAGTGAACCTTGAGATCGAGGTCATGTTTGTGCGCAGCTTTGAATGTTCATATTGTTGTCACTACAATGAAGCAAGCAGCGCTCGAAACCAAAAACTCCTGTTATCTCATTGACGAGGACAGAAATGTAAAAGCTCGAGCACGCAAGCTGGAATTTTCCATATCAAATGTTGTCCAATACCTTAGAGTTAACAAAAGCACGTTTTACAGGTTAGTAAATTTCTTCATTTAAGCAGTCTGGTTCACTTATTATTTGCTTTCAGACTTCAGAAAAGCTGTGTGACTCCAAGGTCCAGTTTATACAACTCCCACCTAATAGTCCGGATCTCAGAGTGGTTGGAAATCTGTTTTCTGTTTTGAACAGAAAGGTCAATGTGCTACTTGTACATTGGATATTGGAGGCAAAAGTGCGATACGTAATGGAGTATAAAATGAAAAATGACTTCCTAACAAATTTGGTGACGTTGATGCTGAAGAGACTGGAAAAGTTCTAAAGAACAAAGGCAGACCGATCGACTATTAGTGTACACAAACTTTACATCTAGTTCTCTATCAATGTTGATTTGTTGTAAATAAAAATTGTTTTGTTTTCGTTAGTTAGCCCTTAGCTCATCGTGGTCTAGGTCAACCACCACGGCCGAAATGGGAGTATCCACTACATTCGGAATCGTTCCATCTGTTGAGTATACACGAATGAGGAAGATCACTGCTCTAAAGACTCACCAAGATTTGTTTATTGTTATTGGGAACAAAGTTTACTCTGGTATAAATGCTGTTGCCTACACGAACCAACAACTATTTCACCGGGACCCGTTGCTTCAGTTTCGATTAGACCTGCATTTATCAGAATGGAACATAGGTATACTCCTTCATGCATTGTTGCGTAGATTTTTCTTCCAGGACTTGAAACGCTTTCAAGATTTCGAAGATCAGCAATATTGGAGACAAGTGCACGAACTGGGATCGTTGAAAACATGTATGATTGAAGTGCCAAACACCTGTAGAG